AGCCTGGGCTACCAAGTGAGTTCCAGGAGAGGCGCAAAGCTACACAGAGAAACCCTGTCTCCAAAAACAAAAACAAACAAACAAAATCAGTCTTCGAGCCGGGGGGGGGGGGGGTGGTGGTGGGTGGTGGCGCACGCCTTTAATCCCAGCACTCGGGAGGCAGAGTCAGGCGGATCTCTGTGAGTCCGAGGCCAGCCTGGGCTACCAAGTGAGTTCCAGGAAAGGCGCAAAGCTACACAGAGAAACCCTGTCTCGAAAAAAAAAAACCAAAAAAAAAAAAAAAAAAAATCAGTCTTTGACAACTTAAATCTTTGCCCAAACAAAAAAGTTACAGCTCAAATGAGTAATGTACTTCCTTTTACTATTCTTCCTTATGCTAAATCTTTTTTGTTTTTAAAGCATAACCCTTTGGGTTTTGCTTATTAAAGAGTGGGAGAGGGAGGAACATGAAGACCTGAGCTTGACTGTAGGATCTTTTAGGTGAAGGAGTACAACCTCTTAAAAGTTATCCACTGAACATCATACATGTGCTATGGCAAACACATGCCCATACATGTAGGCATATGCAAACGCGCACACAGACACAGACACACACACACACACACAGACACACACACACACACACTTTTTTTTTTTTAAGGATGGAAGCAAAGAAAATGTAAAGTAAAAATGAATCTGGAAATCTAGCCATTTTAAAAAAAAAAAAAAAAAAAAAAGGAGATGCTGAGTCCAGTGGAGGCAGAGGCAGGTGGATCTCTTTGAGTTTGAGGCTAGCCTGGTTGACTTAGTGAGCTCCAGGACAGACAGTGCTACAAAGTGAGACCCTGTCCCAAAAAAAAAAAAAAAGAGGGATAGAGAAATGGTTCAGCTGGGCATAGTGTTGAAGTGGAAATAGAAAGAGTAGAAGTTTGAGGTCAGCCTGCACTACGGGAGTCTCTCTCAAAGACCTGGGAGCTAGGTGGTAGGGGAAGAGATTGACTGAACTGACTCTGAAAAGGGGTCAAGTGTGAAAGAGGTCAAGTATGCTAGCACTGGTAATCCCTAGCACTGGTAATCCTGGTACCGGGGAGACAGAAACAGGGGGATTAGAGAGTTCAAGGCCCGCCTGAGCTATAAACAGTAAGACTCTGTTAAATAGAAAAATAGGAGGTAGGCTGGAGAGTAGCTAAAGCAGTGGATGCTCTTCCAGAGTACTCAGGTTTAGCAATGACATGGTGCCTCACAACCACCCATAACTCCATACCCTATCCTGGCCTCTATAAGCACCAGGCACACAAGTGGTGGGCAGATACATATGTGACAAAACACCCATACACACAAAACAAATAATAAAATGTAAATAAATAAAAACGAAATAGATGATTAAGCTAGGGTTATAACTCAGTTATAGAGAACATGCTGAATGTGAGATCTTGGGCTCACTCCCAGTATGGACAGATATAAATATATTATGCATGTCTGTCTGACTTAGGAAGTGGATTGTGTGACAGGTATCAGAAGCCTAGGTTTTAATTCAGTTTGAAATCACAAGATTTACAAAGTTTGATATGTACCTTGACTTTACTTTTTAAGGATCTTTTAAAAGAAAATATAAATCCTATAAGTCAAACTCTAATATATTACCAATATTAAACTCCATGCTTTTTGCCCCTCTGATTTCAGAGAAGCCTGTAATTGAGACTTTTTAAAGGGCTTAAACACCTGTAATCCTGTGTTGTTTTGTTTTTAAATCAACCAGACCTGGTGGTATTACTTGGGCAGTAGAAGATCAGGAGTTCACTGCCAGCCTGAGCTACAGAAGACCCTAGTTCAAAAAACAAAATGAAGATAAAGTAAATCTAAGACCAAGTAACCCTAGCAGTATCATTATGGACATTATCAGCATGCTGCTGGTTCTTTTCACTTCCACATGAGCAGCTCCCAGATCTCCAGCACCCACCCTGGTGTCTCAGCATAGAGGCAACTATGTGGCCTTTGTTTGGTGACATCAAATATCAACTGAGAGGGCCCCTGGTCTCCTAAGAAGAAATTCAACACCTACTTTGACACACGCTTACATACAACGTATAGCATACACCTCCTTACTGTTCCTCATCTACCTGGTCTCACAGAATGACTAAGATCCAAAGGAACAACCACAACAGAGCTGTCCAGAAGCAATCTGCTGCTGCTTTTCCCCAAACCACTCTTAATTAAACCAAGCTACCCAAAGACATTAACTGCTCCTTAAGTTGACCACACAGTACTGTTAAAAATTTAAAAATGAGCCAATGGTGGCACATGCCTTTAATCCCAGCACTCAGGAAGCACAGGCAGGTAGATCTCTGAGTTTGAGGCCAGCCTGGTCTACAGAGGGAGTTCCAGGACAGCCAGGGCTACACAGAGAAAGCCTGTCTGAAAAAACCAAAAAGAAGAAAATAAATAACCTACCCTGGTTCAAAACTTCTCCAAATATATATTCTTCTTCAAGTATAAACTTTAAGATACTAGGGAAGATTATTACTTTTAAACAGCTGAATCGAGAACCAGCAAGGACATCTAGTATAACTCCTTTCAGCTTATGTCGCTCCTGACATGTTTGCTGAGAAAGTTCCCTCCCCCAGAGAGAACTAATACTACATCCTAGTTGAAGTGGAGAAGGGGCGGTACTTCTAAACAAACACCAATCAGACTCCTCCTTTTAACAAAGCTCTTGTAGTCCCTCTTCAGAAGTAGCTTCCAACTAAAACATGCAACACTAAGCCTGAACTCTGGACATTAAGAAATCGGGACAGCTGCAACCCACAAATTTTACAACAGGAATGTTTACTTTGGCAGCAACAGTATAAGCATGTATCAAATTAGCCTGTGTGTTCTAATAACTACAAGGCACAACAATTTTCGGAAGGCCATTTTTTTAAAACAGAGAGTTTCCAAGTTCTTGGAACATCCTTAAAGCATTGTCGTGACATCTTTTCACATCCAAGCTCAGGTGAAGCTGCAATGGAAACAATGTGTCTATGCCTCTGAATCAACCATTAGGATAATTCTCATCTGCCTTATCATATTGGATGAACTGCTACAATGAGAACTATTAGGAAGCTAACTCCTCCACCTCAAAGAAACAAAGTTAACTTCAGAAGTTAATGGAGTAAGTCATTGCAACATAGACGCAATTACTCCATTTAAATGGATGTGCATGAATTACATTTTATTAACAATTCCACATTGTGAGGTTGACATTTTCTCCTTCCTCTTTTCCATGTGCCTTCAGTATTCATGCAGCAAATATTTAAAGACAGAAATTCAATCAGGAAGGTCGTTTGACAGCTACTGCTTTTTGAAGTTGCAGGAAAGCAAGCCTTAGGCACTGGCATTAAACAAACATCTATGTGTCAAGTGCTATACTCCTCCAGCATCCAACCTCTGTAATTTGCAACCCTACTTTATGGTATCCTATGACAGATCATCCAAAAAATTAACAGAGTATAATCTTCAGCTTCTTCTCAAGCACATTTACAAGAATTATCTCATAGAAACCATCTACTTTGATGAGACTCTAAAAACCCCATGCCCAGAAGCCAATGGCTGGTTTATAAACAAGATAATGACTAGTTCAATGGAAAAGGCATTACAACAAAATGCTAAGACTGTCTCACCATGTTATGATCTGCTTGCCTAATATGTATGTTTAGCTACTGCAGTCAGCAATGTCCAAATATAAATTTAAAACATTTAATGGCCAGTTCTGTTCTAGACTTCAAGCTCATCTTACCTGTTTAAAACATTGGTGCTTCTTCCTCCCCTCCCCCAACCTATCCTCCAAAGTACTTTTTCTCTTATTAAATGTATTCCCTATGGTAGAAAAGGAGGACCTAAGAAATAAAATCTCCCCAATATACAATGAAATAGCCAACACTGAAAAATCAGACATTCCTGTATATCTCTACTATAACAAATTAAAAATAATCAAAATAATTCAAGAAAAATAAACTGACACAGGTTAAGCACTAAATTTCACAAATGAGAGCTTCCTATACTTTATGAGTGCAACCATAAATATACCAAGAAATACCTTGTTGATTTAAAAATAAAAATAAAGAAATTGGGTTGTTTGGTTAAATTTCAGTTACTGGTAAGTGGCATGAAGACAGAAGAATCAATACAAAAAAAATTTTAAAGGTCAGTCATATTTTGTTTACTTAAAATACTAAAGCTTAATCATGACCTGTCTAAACCTTATCGTTGCTCATTGTGTAAAATTAGCACTGCACTTGCGAACCTAAGCAGAATCTAGACTTATCAAACATATGGGGAGACTTGCCCAATTTCTGAAATAGTAAATGTGGGTGAAGCATTAAAATAGTTTTCTTGGTAAACAATAGCAAAAACAAAACAACAACAAAAAGAGAGAGCTAGAAATGCTTTCATAATCTGATCAGAAAAAAAAAATCTTTAAAATTTTTCAAGCACCCAGCAATTAAAATCTTGAAATTAAGTGAAATTGTTTGAAGTACCTACACTTCAGAGGCTGTAGCTTACAGCAGAAACCTAAAACAGAAAACAGAAAAATAAAAATCAGCAGATCTCTAAACAACGCAGAGGTACACAGAAACGAGGACTGGTTCTCCAGCTAACTTTTCCAGCCCTGCACCGGAGAGACACCAGAACAAAGTTGAAGGTAAAACCGTGAGTTTTCCCTGTAAACTGGGCCATGATCTGAAACCTGAAAGAAAGAAAAAAAAAAAAACCCGCCGCCGCCGCCGCCGCCGCTGCCGCTGCTGCTGCTAATAGAAGCTCCTTATAAGCAGCGAACTGACAGGTGGAAAAATAAATTCCCCGGCAGGCCAGCCAGAGGTTGTGAAAACACGGTTCAAGGACCGAACATGTTGTGACTACTCTGTAACAGGTCCAAGGTAATTTACGCACACACCCTTCAGCGCAATCCCTCCAGCACGGGTAAGAATGGGAAACAACAGGCTGCCTGCCCGCCCCCCCATCCCTACCCGAGATCCACATACCATTTTACAACAGCCGTCTCCCCCTAGACAGGAAAACAGACATTCTGGTCCCGAGTCCTTTCCGCCGAGTTCTCCCCCAGCGCGAAGGGAAGAGGGCCGCCGCCGCCGCCGCCGCCGCCGTAACGAGAGAAGCCGGCAACAGCCCCGCCGCGCGGCCGCCACGCCTTCCTCCCGCCGCCGCTGGGGACGCGGAGCCGCGGATCACATTTCTCCTCCCCAACAATCACACGCACGCACGTCCCCAGAGTTGACACCCTCCAAACCCGCCGCCCCGCGACGCCGGTGACAGGGCCACCAAGCCTCCGGGGGCGCAGCCACGGGGCTGGGCGCTCCGGCAGCGTGCGTGCACGTCGGTGTTCGCTCCCATCAATGAAAGGAACGAGGTCTCCGTAGTGACGGCCTAAAGCCGCCGGGCCGAAACAGGGGGGCCCCCCGTGGGACCAAACAAAACTTCGGTTGCTGGGAAGAGCCGTTGCGCAACCTTGGCTTGCGGGGAAGGCCCGGGCCGCCCGGCACGGCCAGGGCGGCTTCCCGGAGGCTGCGCCAAGCGCGCGCCAAAAGCACGCGCGGTCTCCGCGTCCGGCCGCCTCGGGCCTGGCGTGGCGCCGGCCTTCGGGAACCGCCCGGGGACGGCAGTCCGCAACCGGGCGGAAACGGAGCAGCGTCGCTCCGAGGGTTCCCCCGGCCCCGAGGCCCGCGTCGCCGCCGAGCTCCCCGCCCTTGCCCGGCTCCCTTACCTTCCTAGAGGCCCGCGCTCTCCCCGCTTCGGGCGGCCGCAGCCCTGAGCATGTCCGGGATGGGTCGCGGGGGCCGTGCGGGGACCCGGAGCCAAGCGCTTCAGCAGGCGGCGCCACCCAGCCGGGGCTCAGCCCCTCTCGGCGGCCGCTGCCATCTTGTCCTGGCGGCTGAGAGGAAACGGCGAAACACCCTCCCCCGACCGCTGCTGCTGCTGCTCTGGCTGCCGATCGCCGGGCCCGTTTCCCTCATCTTCCTTCCCGGGGACCTGGGGTGGGGGACGGCTCGACTGGGGAAGAGGGGCGGTGACTAGCCGGCGGCCCGCCGGGGCCTACGGGCGGCGCGGGATGCAGGGCCCGCGGCCGTGAGGGCCCATTTCCCCAGCCCCGAGGTGGAGACAAGGACGAGGAGGGCCGCTTGCGAGGCCGCGACGCCGGGGGCCTGCGGCTCGCACTCCTCAGGGCGCCGCGCTGCCGGCAGTCGTCACCCCGGCAGCTGCCGCGGGCCGCCCCGATCTCGGGCCCCTCCTCCACGCCCGCCGGCCTCGGCCGCCGCCGCCTCCGCAGCGCCACCGCCCGCTCGGCCGCGCTGCGCGCCCAGCCCGGGCGGCCTCGCTCGCCTAGGGCCCCGGCGCCTCCGCGAAGCCCCTCCCCGGGGTCCGCCCGCAACCGCGCCCTTGACGCTCGCAGCCCGCCAGGCGGCCCGCGCCGCTCCAACCCTGAGCTCTCACGCCATCCCTCCAGCAGGAATAGCTTCCGTCAGCCCTCCTCTGCAGTTCTGAGCCTGACTCCCGGCCCACTCTGCCAGAAATACACATTTTCGGGGACGATCCTAATACCCAAAGAAGGGGTTCGGATGCGGAAGCAGGATCTTACAGGCCTTTCCAGGTCGCCCCCTCCCAATGCCCCGTCCCACCCCTTTGGAATCTGTTTCTTGGCATCTTAGGGGTTTAAAAACAAAGAAAGGGAAAATGTTTAGTCAAATGAACAGCCTCAGTCTAAAATGGGCCCTTCCCGCTCTCCCATTCCAAACCAGCAGGAGACTTGTCACACCATATCAAAGAATGAAGGAAGAAGGACGGGGGGAGTTTTCCAAGCGCACCACCACAGTCACTGGGAAGCTGCCCACCTCTAAGGTGATAATTCTCCATCGAGTTAGTTCCACACCCAAGCTAGTTTCTTCGCTCCTGGAAACTAGGAAATCGACAGAATGGTCCATTTCCACCCACGTAACCATAGAACCATGGAATTTGAGATGAAAGAATCTTACTGATGTATAGTCCAAACTCTTATGCTAAGACAAGGGTTTAGACAAGTGTCGATGACGTGAGCGAGGTTATAGAGCAAAGCCTTAGTCTCCACCCCCCTCTCTCCTCCATCTGATTCCCCAGGAAGCAACTCAACTAACATTCGAAGCAACCCATCATTCAGTAAACCTATTTTTAACAACCCGCTTCGCTTGGTTCCTTTTGTTCTGAACAAATGTTTAACATTACAGCAACCCTTATCTCTGTGATGAAACTGTCCTTTGCTTTCTTCATTGGGAAGGTTGAGTTTACTGCTGATGTATTTCCCCACACACATTTTCTATTGCAGCATCTGAGACGGGGTAAAGGCAGTGTCAACTTGCTGTGTACATATTCCTCCTTTATAGCCTACTGCCTTTCAAACTAGGAGAAGAGGACTGTGTAGAATGTCTTCAAAAGTGAGAGGGGTTAGCATGCTCAAGGCCACTGGTAATACTTTTTCAAGTGATGAGTGTTTTCTTCAAGACAGAAGAAACTCAGTGAAAAGTCAAAGTAGAAAAAACAATGTATGATTTTTAGAAAAGGCATGTGCATGAAATGGCCATGGCGATGCAAGCCTGGAACACGAGCTTTGGGGAGATGGAGGCCAGAGAATCAGGAGTTCAAGGTTGTCTACAGACAAAAAAGGACAGCGTCAGAGCCATTCCTTCTTTTTTTTTTCCCCCTTAGCATTTACTTCGGATTTTTTAAGGCAATATTTAAAAAAAAAGAAACCTATAAAAAATCAATACTAAAAAAAAAGTGACCATAATAGAGAAATCCCCCAAGGAAAATAGTCCATTAGAACTAAATTTTCAGATTTTTGCAAGTATATCTCTAGCATCCTAATGGAAGACTTCCACCGTTTTCATGGGTTGCTACATTTGTGAAGAGGCTGGAGGTAAGAACTTTTCCCCTTTCTGCTGGGTGGTTTGCCCCGCCCTCTTTTCCTGTGAATTCCAGAAAAGATTTCTGCCACCTTTCTTTTAACCATTGCCTTGCCAGTGACTAAATGCGGTATCTAATTTTAAAGCTTCCTAATAAAGCTTGCTAAATAAATAAACATTAATGCAAGCCCTCCTCCTCAGTAAACTTATTGTCTCCTAACCTAATGTCCTTAATCTCTTCCCCTCAGATCCATTCTGAACTGGAATATACGGGTAATCTTCCAAAACCCTGAAGTAGCAATTTTTTGTTAGGTTCATTTAAAAATAAAAATGATGGTTCTAAACGGGATGTGGTGTCTCACGCCTGTAATGCTAGTACTCTGGGGACTGAGGCAGGAGATAATCTTCCAGAGTCCAAGACCAACTTGAGCTATATGATGACTTCCAAGCTGTCTCTGATCTGATGACTTCCAAGCTACTTCTGACCTGGTGGCACAGGCCTGTGGTCTCAGCTCAGAAGGTCACGCCAGCTTGGGCTACAGAGTGAGTTCAAAGCCAATCTAAGCTACTTTGTGTGACCTGGTTTCAGAAAAGTTTTTAAAGGGTCTAGGGAGTCCTAAAATTAAGGGCTTAAATTCAATCCACAGGAGTCACATAAAACGCCAGCTTCAGTAAGCCCGGTGATGTGAAGAAAAGGGGATCCCTGGGGCCTTTGTCTAGCCTGTCTAGTCATCAGTGAGCTCCAGGCTCAGTGAGAGACTCTGTCAATGGACAAAGTGAAAAATGATTGAAGGAAATGCCTGACTTCAACCCGGGGCCTCCACATACATACAAATCTACAGAGAGAGAAAGACAGACAGACAGACAGAGACAGAGAAAGGCTGGGGATATAGCTCAGTTGGCAGAGCAGTGCTGGCCCAGCATGCCCAAAGCACTGGAGTCAATCTCAACTCTGCAGGACAGAATGACCCCCACCTATAGTCCCAGAACCGGGAGGTTTTTGGTTTTTTGTTTTTTTTTTATTTTCCTGGTTTTTCAAGACAGGGTTTCTCTGTGTGGCCCTAGCTGTCCTGGAACTCATTTTGTAGACCAAGCTAGCCCTCTGCCTCCCCAGTGCTGGGATTAAGCCACAACAGCTCCACTTACAGGAGACCTTGTTTCAAAAGATAAAAGGAGAGAGGAAGAAAAAAGGAAGGAAGGAAGGAAGGAAGGAAGGAAGGAAGGAAGGAAGGAAGGAGAAAAACGGGAGAGAGAGGAAGGAGAGGGGAGGGGGAGAGGGAACACAGGAAGGAAAGAAAGGAAAACAACCTGAGTCAAAAGAAAAGACACTCAAGAGGCATACAGGAGGAAGCTGTGGAGAGCGAGACGCTGGGGCCTGGGAGCTTGGAACGGAAGAAGGGAAGCGAAGGCAGAGAGAGGAAGGGGGGGAGGGGGATGGGGGTGGGGGCCAGGCTGGGCTCAGGACTTTATCCCAGGGCAAAGGCGGCTAGTGAAGGGTTTAGGGAGGGGGAGTGATCAAAGCAGCCGCTACAGTCTTTGGGTGAAAGGATCCTCAGTGGAATCCATTTCTTTTCTACTTACTCAAATTTTCCTTCCAGTAACTATCAGTCTCTCTCATAGGAAAAGCCAAAAGCCACATTGGCCCAAACCAATGCCTTAAAACCTCCCTAGATGGGAGCACCCGGAACCTCATCTACTTTCTGCCTCCTGCCTCCTGTCCTTCCAGTCATTTCTTCCTGGGGGGGGGGGGCTCCAAGTACCCCCTCGCTCTCTCAATCCACAGTCTCGATTTTTCCCATAGCACTGGAGACTGAACCTAGTACAAAGCACTGCTCTACCATGAGCAACACCCCAGTTCCTTCACTTTTTTTTGTGTTGTGACAGGGTCTCGACAAGTTGCCCATGCTGACCTTGAACTTGTGAACCTCCTTTGTCAGCAGCCCAAGTAGCTGCCATCTCAGGGGCACCAGGCCCAGCCGAACTCACTTTCTGCCTCTGCCAAGGGCCAGCCATCTTAGCTACGTTCATGTACATTTTCTGTCTTCCTCCACAAGGATTTTTCTTTTTTGTCACTTGTTAGTTGTTTGATCCCCCACAGTCTAGAATAGGAACTCAATAAATATTTATAAAATGGAAGAATAAATTTTCTCTGTAAGCAGAAAGAAGCTAGCCGTCCACAAACCCCGCCTGCAAGCAGTCACAGCCTTGGACATCACCCACACTGTACAAGGTCTGAAACGGGTTCTTTCTCGCCGGTCTCCCCCCACCTCCGGTGGGCCCGTCCAGCTGAGGCCGGGTCTCCTCGCACCATCCTGGTCTGCACCTCTGCATCTCTGTTGAAGTGCACACAGGTGTCAGTTAGAGAAATGGCCTTGCACAGCCTTAGCACACCATGCTGATGCTTCTATTCAAAGCAGTGCAGTTTCCAGAAAAACCTTGGAACTCTGTCAGAGCCTGAGTCACCAACCCACCCACAGCCATCTTCCTCAAGGAAGTTGAGTTTTGTGGCGGTTGTTTCCTCCACCCCAGACCCTAGGTGTTCTTTCTCGCCTTTGGTCCCTGTTTCCCCAGAGGGGTGGAGGGGGGAGGGGGTGCCAAGCTAACCAGTGAGCCCCCTAACTACAGAGCAAGGAGGAAAACCTTACTGGGAGCTTATTTCTCCTCCTTACAGGAGGTCCTGGCTTCCTGATGCAAATAATCTGCCTTCTTCCTGGAGACCAGCTTTGTATATCTGGGCCTCAGGGAAGGGCAGCTGGGA